AATCCAAGATCCAGGCCACCCAATCAAACCCGACTAAGACCCAATTATATATATATATATATATATACGATGAAGAATAATGAAGCAGAAATGGGGACACATTGATCACAAAGCAAACCTAATTAACGAAAGATTCTATCACAGCCAATGCAGCTGCAGTCTAGTCTAGAAGCTTCTGGCTCTCTCATTTGCTCTTGCCAATTGGGATTTTTGCATTTCTAGTGATTGATTTACAGGGAATGAGTTGGTTACAGAGGGAACTGCATTCTAGGGTTTTAAGGGTTTCAAATTAGAGTGAGCGAGCTGGAGGAGTGAGTTTCGGTGAGTGTGAATTAAAGGGTTTTGGTGGAGAAGGGTGGTTTGATGGTGAAAAAGAGAATCAGAGATTTTTTAATGGATATAAAGTGATTGGAGAGTTCCATTAATGGAGGATTTTTGAGGGAAAGAAAAAAAGGGATGAACTGTTTGGCATTAGCTTATCCTTTTTATTTTTAGTTAAGAAACTACCGAAATAACAGTAGAAGTTAGCTGTGTTTGAGTGGCATAATTTTAGCTGTTTTTTTTTTAGTTAATCTAAATTAATGTATCTAATCTGTGATTCAATTACTTGATCAGGTTAATAACCGGATTGAGTTTTAAAAACTATGGTTAAATTACTAAAAAAAATCCAAAGATAATGACCTTTTTTTTCCTAGCAGCGTGCATCATGGGAACTTGGGCAATAATCCTACAATAGAGACTCATGCTCCAACGACTTTAATGAAACGACAATACATAATGCTAGATTTATAGTCAACACTTTAACAAGGATGGAAAAGGCAGTTTTCCGACCTCGTATGCTCGTACAGTGACGGGTCACCAGCGGGACCTATCCAGGTTAACGTTGTGTGTTTTCCCTTTCCATTGACCACCACGTTCAGGAGCAACCACTCATATGATCTAACCCCCGCATGTGACTGTTTTCTTATTTACCTACTCAACTATTTTGAAGCGACGATCGATGCCACAGCAATGTCTTAGACCTTCAGGAGTTGTAACTTGGTAAAGAAAGCAATAGCAATCCAATCCAACTCCGCGGGTGACCACCTCACATTATTGATCGCCGCCATTGATCCATACCACATTTCAGGTTCCACTTGGCTATTAGCGCCAGCACCGCTGTATTCTGGTCGCTCTCCGGCCTTGCTAACCACGTCCCATAACAAAGCCCTTGAATCATCACCTACCGAGCATATCTGCCTTCCGGTGCATGGAGACCAAGATATAGCATTCACACTTGCCTTATGCTTACATAGCTCCATTAAAGGAGTTGTAGGAAAGCGAATGTCCAGAATAACAACCTTATTACTGTCCATGCCAACTGTGGCTATAAATCTCGGGTCTCTTTTGTTCCACTCTAGCCTTAGCAAAGGACAATCTTGCATTGTATTTTCATAAATTATTGTTGATCTCTCTTTGTTCCTTAAATCGAAAACTCTAACGGAGCCATCACCCGATACTGATGCGAAAACATTGAATGCACCCCATGAAATATCAAACACTTCTTTATCATGTGCAACTAATTGAGCGTCTATAACTTCCTTCTCTATGTCCCAAATCACACAAGTGGTATCGACACTAGAAGTGGCCACACGATGAACATCGAAATCAGCCCAGTCAAATGACGTTATGGCAGAACTGAATTCACTACTCTTATTGCCATTAAGGAGAGACTTCAACTCGATTCGGTCATCATGAATTTGCCATATGCGCAAGTAGTCTCCGGAGGTGGCGATGATATCAGGATTTGCAGCATCCTCGGAGGGGAAGAACATGAGGTTTGTAGGTGAATAAGGGTGGTCGAAGATTAGGCGGCTATCAGTGGTGAAATCAGAAGTGTCGCGGTTGAATTGAACAATTTCCACCTTGTTGCTATAGTCTTCAAGGAAACTTCCTATGGCAAGACGTGATTTTTTGTCCTGTCGAACCGACCAGGCTAGTGAATATATAGGCCACTGAGCTATGTAAGTGTAGATGCCTGGTCTTTTCTCTGAAGAGCTTTGCATGGTTGCTTTGATCTATTATTGAGAATACGAAAGCGAGCCTCTCCGGTCCAATCTCTCTGCATGATATTTAAATAAATAAATAACAGTAATTTCATATCTTTGCACTCTACAAATAAGTTACTCATATCATAGGAAAGCATGATAGAAGGCGGGTTTTCGTTTTCCCTCAGGCAAACTGGTGAGTGCTTCTCAATACTGATACATATGTATACCTCTGATGCAAAGTATACCTCTGATATGATCAGGATAAAGCTAACACTAACATCATTTGATACAAGTTATTAATTAATTGATAATATGAAGCTAATCTAGTATTAGGTTAATGAGATAGAACTCTTGATATCCTAAGCAAGTCACGAGTTCCTTGCACCGTGAGTTTGCTAAGTGTATAGAGGTCTTAGCAGGCTGCAGTTCCATTGAGAGAGGAGGTTGCTTACTTGGCTTAAAAAAGGAGAATTTCATGAACAACCAAACAATAAAGAATGCTTGCTTAATTTAGTGAAAACAATAACATACTGAGGCATCAAATACTTTGAAAGTAAAATTGACTAGAGGTCCTTTAGTTTTTGCTAGGGGACTGAGATTGCGATATATATATATATATACACACACACATGCGCACGCACACGCACACAATTTAAGTTATATCTGATAGAAGTTTAAACGAAGGGTAAATTTTACTTCTATATAAAATTTTAAGTTAATATTTCGGTGCAAGTTTCTAGATAAAATGAATCTTTAAAGGCAAATTTACCCTCCAAAGCTTCTTTTTTTTTACTGTTGTATTGAAATGTGCGTCAAATAGTTTTTCAAAGGAATCACCAAAAGTTTTAATTTTAAGATGCGAAGTGAAGTCAGAAAAGAAAAGAGATTATAACAAAGTGAATCCGTACACTAAATGGAGGGTATTTTCTGAAGATTTACTCTCAAGCATCAAATACAAGATGGCATGAGAAGGCCTGGTTCTTGGCTAGTAGTTCGCTGGCCATATTCTTACCTCAATAAATATTTCGTTTCTGATATGTTGTTTACATAATCAGTGGAAACCTTGTAACCATGCAAAAGCATAAAACACGTTAGAGAAGTTATAGTAAAAAGCAACTACACCGAAACTACAAAAATGTGTTCAACTCCCAAATTAACACTAAAAGAAATGCAAAAGATGTTGTTATTCTCGCCTTACTTCCTCCGAAACGTATGCGACTAGATCAATTTTCTTTGTTCTCTTTATTATCAGTGTTGCACCGTACTCCAGAAAAGGTATTTCTGACCGGGAAGAATGAAAAGAACAGAAAAGATGAAACAAAAATAGGAAAAATATATATATAGCTAAACTCACTCACACGCATATATATTCAAAGAAAATCAAAAGCATCAAGACAAAGTTGCATGTTTTCCTTTGCATCGCAGTCTCAGCTGCTACTACGAGATAAAGAGAAACTTACAGCACTCAAGATCAGCAAAGAGGATCTGCTTGTGCACAAGAGAGGGGGGACGAGAAGTGGAGTTGATATGTATATTTTGCACAGAAGCTTGCTAGGGACGGTGGAAGTTCAGACTTAAGAAGCAAACAATTATTTTTTAAATTATATGGGAAGGTAAGGTAAACCTAATGGTCAAGTATTCACGAGGACAATGCGTCTATGGTTGGTTCACTTTACTTCAGGATAAGGTCGCACGTTTTAACGAACTACTTTCTTTTCTTTTCTATTTTTGTTGTAGGTGCATGTGAGAGGCTTTCAAGAATCCGAATGTTTCCATACATAAACAGGAAGGTTATACAATTTAAGAAACACTTGCAACTAACTGTCTCCTGGGAGTTGTTCCTATTGATAAGAAAATTAAGGTTTGATTCCATACCCAGTTTCTGTTTCAGGTTTCAGTTTGAATTTTGTTAATTAATAATTAATTTCTTAACACAATGACATTATTCACATCCAACTAACTGTACGTAGAGTTACAGATATGTTTTCAATCTTAGCTCCTAGAATTCTATTTTTTTTTTAATAGCACAATTCAAAAAAAGTTTTGGCAGGATTTAAAAAAATATAGTACAAGTTTATAAATGGTAATATCAAACATGTTGTTGTGGATTTTTTTAATATATTTTTATTTAAAAAAATATTGAAAACCAATTATTTTTTTTTAACAAAATGTTCTTGCTGTCCTATTAAAAACAGCACATAATTTCTTGATATTGTATTGTTCCCAGCAGCATGACCTCAATAATAAAAACATATAGTTGTGAAATTAAGTTGCACTATTAATTATAACACAACCTTGCTTCACATGACATATGAATGAAGATGTTGTCTGTAACATTGATAACATTCATTTGTCTACAATCTGTACATCAAAACCCACAATGTTTCTATACATTTTAAAAACAAACCAATGTAAATCGAGGACAGAACCAAATTTTATATTCAAGCAACTAAAAACTTGACCCGAAACCTGATTGATTTAACCCAACAATTAACTATAAATTAAATATATAAAACAATTGATCAACGGTTTTTTATTATTTCATTAAAACAACTTGATAGGACCGAGGAAAAATGTTATAATTCTTCTTTTATTTATACATAACTCATAGTTAATAAATTGAGATATTGAGATTAGATCAAGTTAAATAAGTTAACTAATCTTTAATTAAATTTTTAAACTGATTAAATCCTTGATTGATTTAATTTTAAATTTGATTTAGATTAAATCTCAAATCATCAAGTATTTTTTCATATTATTTGGTTTTTAAATTATATAAAAAAATTTGTGAGTTGAATGTTCGAAATTTGAACATTCATTTGTCTTGTGAAAGTTGCACTATTACCAATAATGCAACCTTCATTTTCTTTTTCTTTAGACTATTTTCTTTGGAAAAGCACAATCTCAAAAAAAAAAAAAAAAAGAATTTATTAGGTTACATTGTTCTCGTATATTATATTATTTTTGAATTGTGCTTAGTTTATCAAAAAAATTTATTGAATGGTGATATTTTCCAAAATAAATTTTAGCTTGATTGAACACATCAACGTGGAAAGAAATTCGTAATTGTCTTGTCCTCGAAAGCTCACATGCAATTTGATTTTACATACTAAAATATATTATCATCCCCTTTCAAAATATTATTTATTATAATAATATTTTAATTTTTTAGTTTTTATTATTTATTTTTATTTTATTTTTTAATATTAAGTTAATTATTATAAATTAATCTTTATATTATTTTATTTTTTTCTATAAAATTATTCTAATTTTATAAATCAAGTTACAAGATTGTAAGTTAAAGTTAATAAGTTACAAGATTGTAAGTTAAAGTTAATAAGTTTATAAATTAACTCAGGCTGACTATATTTTGTTTCAATTAATTTATTTTTTAATTTTATTTTTTAATATTAAAAAAATATTAAATTGATTTTAAAAATTAAATTTTATAATTTATTTTAATTTTCTTTTTATAGAATTATCCGTATTATGACTCAAAAATCCAGTTTAGTCATGAGAGACTACTCCTCTGAGCTTATAACTTCATTAGCGGACTCCATTAAAACATCACTAACTTGTATAATACACAAACATATCCATATTCACTTGTACTGAGAGCATCGCCCCTCCACATTCCTCCAACAAAAGGATGGGTCTGAGTAAAGGAACTCACCAATTAATGGTTCAGACAACTAGCTGTCTAGAACCACTCTCTTGACGAGCATCTCACTGCAACAGGAAGCAGATTTCGGTCAGTAAAATCACAGTATCAATATTTTGCTCTATTTCATCTTCTTCACTGTTAGAGATCAGACTGCCAATCATACACAACGGCTAGAACTAAATCATAACTCCCTCTTCTATGGTGATCTGCCCCAGACCATTTCATAATCATAAAAAAAAAAAGGGTTAAACAAATTAAGATTACAATTTACACGCCACCATTAATTTCTATGATTCAGGTAAAAAAAAATGTGATACAGGTGCCTCATAATCACCTCTTCCAAATTAACTGTATTTCTTTCTGGTCCAACTTTAAAGAACTGCCAGATATCGCCAGTTCTTTCCCCCAAAAGATTTGATCCAGATCAAAGTAACATGGGATCGCCATGGCAATCAATACTAGTTTCAAATCCAGCAGCAGATAACAGTTACAGATATTATACATGGAGTTTTTATCCATCAAGCACACACCAAGCAGTCTCGACAGCTGTCTCACCAGAACACCAACTTTTTTTTAGCTCAGCTTGCCTGAGTTTATAGTATTATTTATCTGACTCCTGTTTTCTCCACAAGAATGATTGACTGTGGGTGGTGAGACTGCACTGAATCCATTCGCTTTAACGGACTCAGGAGGGCCATCTCTTGCCGATGTAATCCTCGTTGAATCAGAATTCTTGATAAATACATCCTCAGGAATCCCCTGCTGTAGCAGTTCTATGCGCCTTAAAGATGGCACATCACCCTTACAGTATCTGTGCCACATGTTCCGGTATGTTGTCTCTAAACCAAGAGTAAAATTTGGTCCATCACAGACTGGAGACTTAGACATAAGTTCCCGGAGACTCGTCCTCAAGTTTGAGAGAGCCGAAATGTCTGAGGCCAGTTGTAGTGCCAATTGAACGTATTCCTCTTCATTTTTGGCAACCAAATGTCCTAACCCTGCGTTACAATCACCCAGAAGGTCCACAAGGATTTATGAAGAATCCGAACATCCTCGAGCAAAATTCAAAGACTCATAAAGCATAGATGTGCAAAAAAACATTATGGATTCATTCTGGATAATTAATGCTTCAGATTCTAAAAGCTAATAAAAAATTCCAACCAAATAGCTCCAATCCGAATTATGAGAATCTAAATATCAGAAAACAGCATGTATTAAATTTGAATTTGAAAGTGAATGGTGGAAACTTTGAAGAAGAAAAAAACATTACATTACATGAAAGCAGCACATATACAGTGTCCATACCATTAGATCACCACAATGACAGGTGACATAAAATTCTCATTCCAGCAGAGTTAATCATTTGGAATAATATCATGGAAAATTTCATATAAATCCAAAAAGCTATGTTTCATCCAGACCATCTATGGTTAAGGCAAGGAGTTTGTCCTTTTCGTTTTACTAGGGCATCATATGAGATGACTTCTTTTTTTTTTTCTTTTCCTTCTTGTTACTGGCTCTATTAGGGATTGAGTTTTCAAAACTATGATCTTGACAAAGCATTCAAAACCATGTCTTCAAGTGTATTGAGTTTACAAAATCATGGTTTTAAAAGGCTACCAGCACTCATAAACCAGCCTTTTTTACTTGAAACCTGCTTTTGGTATACTCAAGGTCAAGCCAAACAAGCACTTCAAAACCAACGAATGCAATAAGGCATGCAAACCGAGAGTAATTTGAGATAGAAATGAAACAAAAAGAAGAAATGAAAACCATGTCTTCAAGAGCATTGAGTATACAAAATCATGGTTTTAAAAGGTTACCGACAATCATAAACCAGCTTTTTTTTACTTTAAACCTGCTTTTGGTAAACTCAAGGTCAGGTCAAACAGGCACTTCGTAAGCAACGAATGCAATGAGGCATATAAACCGAGAGTAATTTGAGATAGAAATGAAACAAAAATAAGAAATGAAAGGTCCTCACCAACTTTGCTGAGAAGACTCACGCCAACATTGTGAGCATGTACAGCACCAGCCATAGTAATGCATGGAACTCCCATGTACAAAGATTCACATGTTGTTGTTGTACCAGCATATGGAAAAGTGTCCAAGCTACATCAAATACATATAAAGTAAGCCATGAAGAAGATTCAAATGACAAGCCAGAAGCACACTGGAAAAGCATGTATGTCTAAATAATGTGAACAAATCTCAGGATAGGATGATAGAAGGTTAGGTATCAACTAAGCATATATAGAGCATATTTTGCTTATTAACTGTTTCCAGAAAGAAACAATAAGTGGTTGCAAGTATATATGATAACTAAAGATCTTACCTTATGTCCATTAGAGAATATGCTTGCATGTGATCATGATTAAGAAGAATTAGAGGCAGGAGATCGACACGCAGTGGTTCCAACCCCAGCTGCTCCAACACTGCAAGGAATCTCTGTCTAACACTATCACAGCCAAATGGCTTGCATTTCACCACAAGGCGGGAGTTCGGAACTGCACAAAGTATCCTAGCCCAAACTTGCAACACCTTAGGTGTTATCTGTGGGGAGACATAATAAAAGGCCCAAAAAGAGGGACACAAAACATGGAAGCAATCAGAAGAATTTTGCCACTATAGATAGTGGTTTAATAGTCTAATTACAAAACTAAACAATACCTTTGCCAGATTATTAAAGCTACCAAATGTGATAAAGCCATTAGAAAGAGCAGGAGTTGGAGTAACAGGCCCAGCCTCTGGAGAAGGTATGTAACAAAGGAAGCATTCTGGTAAACGAACCAACTCCTCAACATGCCTGTCATTGAATATGCATATAAGGTCATGGATAACATAAAATAATATTCCTACTGAGCTATATTTAAGAACAATATCCTCAAGAAAGTAACAAGTGGTCCTACTTTTGTTTAG